CTGATATAACAGAACACATATAGAGTTCGTGATTTATGATTTTACTGATATAACAGATCACTTAACCAGGTGGTTAGGGGGCGCTCGACTCGCAATCTCAGGATCGCGGGTTTGAATCCCCGTCACACCAAACAAGCTCGCCCTTTCAGCCGTGGTGGCGTTATAATGTGACGGTCAATCCCACTATTCGTTGGTAAAAAAGTAGCCCAAGAGTTGGCAGTGAGCGGTGATGACTTGCTGCCTTCCCTCTAGTCTTACACAGCTAAATTAGGGACGGCTAGCGCAGATAGCTCTCGTTTAGTTTTGCGCGAAATTCAAAAACAAACAATCAATTCCACTGAAGTCCACATTTACAAGGGATGTGTTTTTTTCCCTCCTTATGGTTAGGTGGTGTAGCGTGCACTAACTGCGATCGAATTATGTAGCGGCTTTAAAAGACTCTTCTGGTTCTGGATAGTTTTTATTCCCTTCGCATGTTTTCAAAGAGACCTTTGACATAGGAAAATGTTTTAATATGTTCTTCCTGTTTCTTTAGTAACTTTTTTCTTTGTCATCGTTGAAGATGATCGTATTATTGTGTCTTAACGTCTTTTGATATCAACCTTTTGTTCATTTTGGAGACTGGACAACTTTTGGAGCCGTCTCTAAACTGTGGAGGTATTTACTTTTATGGAAAAATAAAGGCTTCATCTATAACTTTCCCAAAGTCTGTGGTGTACGATTTATGTGTTTTCCTGACCTAAGAATGGAATCTTGTCAGTTTTTCTATGTCTCTTGCGAATTGTATAGCTGGATATTGTCTTCTCAGATAGCTAATAAATTCTGGAGTCCTTGTGTGTATGTGTGTTCATATTACGGATGTATTTTCAACATATCTGAAGCAAATCCTGGGTTATAGAGCGGTTTTTCTTTTAGGTCTGTAACTTTGAAATGAACTATGAACAGATTATCAAATGGTGGTGATAGTGGTGAATCCATTTTAAACCTTCTTGTCATTGATAGTATATTTTTTCAGGCTAGAAACAAGTTGTGTTGATCAAAAAGTTTTGTTTTCGTGTATATTGTCAGCTGTGTAGCTGCTTTTAGAGTTCTATTATTTTCAAGCTGTTGTAGGTTGGTTGGTATCTTCTAAACTTACTGTAGCGGTTCGTATTATTTTTGCAAAGTTCATAGTATGGCAAGATGTATTACTCATTTAATGGCGATATAACTACAATATGTATTTAAAAGTGTTGCTATGGGAATCTCTGCACTTACCATAGGACAGAACCACGAGTCTTGTTTGTGAACTTCAGGTACAGCATTATTTTTTTTTTTTTTTTGGTGATATTAGGGCGAACAGTTCGATGTTTGGTGTTGTTTCTGTTCCAAAATTCTCTCATGTTTCTTAAGCAGTTGACTGAATATTTATCTGTGCTAGATGTTGAATTAGACTTGATAATTTTTTATCATCTATCTTCAACTGGAGTTTAAAACTCGATGTCATACTCTTTCTCAACTGGTAAAATTGTTATAGTGTTGACTTTAAGTGCCTTAGTCATAGTTTTTTATGCTAGGGTGGTATTGGGATGAATTTACGTTTGGTGGTTTTCTGAGCTGCTACCTCTACTTGGATTTTAAATTCTTCAGTTTCTTCTTCTGGTAGGCTGTAAGTTGTAACTTTTGTGCTTACGACTATTCCTATGGTTATGTTTTACCCCCTGTGTGTGTTTGTCAGCAAGATTTCTCGTAAACGGCTGAATGGATTTATGACAATACTTAGAAGCGATTAGTTTTTTTTGGAGGGTCAAAGTTAGAAAATCCAAAAATATCCCTATCTGTTACCACGGATACCGATTTTTCACACTATTTTTGCTCTTTAACTCAGCCAAATATGATCGGATTTTTATGAAACATGGTGGACATATGTAGAATATTATTCCACATTGCCTTGCCAAATATGGTCTGTTTCTGTTGATAACGACGGACATACGGATACATTTTCGTATTTTTGAGAGTCGAATATAATCAACACTACGTAGTGGAGGTATGCACTCTACTGAGTGCCCCTCTAGTTTTATTATGTGGTAGCGTAAATTGTTATCCACTACTCAGTAAATTTTTTTCTGGTTCTGTTAAGTACTGTTGCAGCTTGAATGCTAGATAACAGGTTTATTAAATTACTACTTGCGATTCTAAATATCTGAAATAAAATAATAACTTATAAACAGTTTTCTATTTATGTAATTTACAATTTAGAACTTTAAATAACAGTCGTTTAGCAGGATCTTACTGACTCTCTTAATTAAATATGTACTTTCTTACGACTAGAAACATATTTTCACCTAAACCAAAAGATGGCTATGGTGGAATTGAAGAACACCGTTGGACTGATCAGAATGTTTTAAAATGTAATGAGATAGCTCTGGTGTAAAACCTCACAGATATTTAGAGCACATTTAACAATGGAACTAATAAATTTAATTTTTCATAACCACCTGCGTTTTCAAACGGTATGTTTAAATACATAAAGATTAGAACATGAATCACACGCCCCACTTTAAAAGTGCGATGTTATTTATCTACAAATATGCAATTTTATAGCCATCCTATGCCATCTTAAGAAAAACTATATAACGTAACAAATTTGGAGTAGCATTAATACACCTAAATTTTATACATATTAGGCTTAATTTCTTATGTCTCCTTGAAAAATGAATTTAGAAAAAAGGTTTTATAGTTTGTTTGTAATTAAGCACAAAGCTGCACAATGGGCTATCTGTGCTCTGCCCACCACGGGTATCGAAACCCGGATTCTAGCGTTGTAAGTCCACAGGCATACCGCTGTGCCACTGGGGGGGCATGTTTTATAGAAGGGTAAAAACTAATTAAAACCACGTTTTATATGCTGCAAAATCATAGCTTTTCTAATCCTCTCTTGTTAAACCTGATTGGCCACTTTATTATTATTTATTACAAACACATTTGTTGAACTTACTTGCACACAATTTATACAATTTTTGTCATCATTACGTAATTTAAGACATGTGTTTAACAGCCTTCTTATCCAATGATATTAAATATCATAGGGTTATTCCTTGAGCCTTATAAACGCAGAGAGTTAATCATAATATGCTTTGCGTGAAAAGGAATGGGTAAAAACAGGAATATATTTAAAGAACTGATTGCCTCTCCAATAGAAGCATCGTTATCTAAAAATAAATTTCCAAAACAAGCTGTTAAAAAAATCTGTCATTAAAAAATATCGACAGAGTTTATCGAAAGGGGGATATGTCCCCTCTGTAAATAACTGTCCACCAACTACAACTACGAGTGATTGACTTAGGGGAAAAAACATAATGTAATATGTTTGCGAAGTGCGATAAAAAATCACATGAGGTACTTGATCCTATTTCTGTTGTTCTCACTATGCAAAATGCCGGAAATGTTTTTTTTTAGTATGGTGGACCTCTTCATTACAGAAATTTGGATATTTGTTAATTCTGATTCATGTCCAACCCAAAATATTAAATTTTTAGAGTGATACACAAAGTTTTTCTGGAAAATTTGCAAAAACACACCACTTTCCTATATCCAAGATTGGTCCGAAGAACATAACAGTGACTTCAATCTTCTTTCTTGACCAACTCAACCGTCGTATCTTAATCAGATTGAACATGCTTAGGATGAAGTTTAGTGTCACATTCAGCCGTAAATTTCTTTCGACATCTGTGAGCTAATTGCAGCTATCACCTCTCAATAAATTGACCGGTGGATCTGTGCTATTCAAGTCCAGACTACTGCTGAGGAGAAAGCTGATCCAACCAAATATTAGGTGGAGGATTCTAATATAAACATTGAGTATATAAATGAATAGTTTTAAAATCTTTATAATTATTGTGTTTTTCACGTTACTATCCGTAGTTATGAAAATCTAAGATACTGTATGAAAACTTCGTATGTTTTTAAACATATAAACACACTAGTTTCTTAACATTTAGGTAACATTAGAGTTGGCAGGTGATAAAGACATAGGAGCTAGGAACATTGACCTTCAACGTGAGGAGATCTGTAATATGGTTCGCACCCGAATGCAGAACTTAGGACTGCCAACAAAAGATTATGGTAAGATTTAAACTTTACTATTGTTATTATGATAATTACTGAATAATTCATAAACTTATAAGTGGTTATTTCAGTTAGTGCTGTTGGTATTTAAACTATCACACTAACACGTATGTGTGTTTCAAACGATAGAAGGCACTTCGAATATTTCTAATGATGGATAAATAAAGTTGTTTAAACATTTATTTAACAACAAGTAAAAGCTTGAAATGGTCTATTCTTTTATTTGGGGTGTGTCTGTGGGCCAGACTAGTTTCAGAGAATTCCACTCCTGATCAGTGACCCTAGACACTACAACCAATGAAATATCAGACCAAACCAAACCTTTATAGTAGTAAGATATCGAAAATCGAACTGGTGTATATATGTGTTTTACACTCATAAAAAAAGAAACCCACAGAATTATAGTGTAAAACACGTAAATACACCAGTTTGATTTCTAATGATGTTCCACTGAATTAGAGATCAACCAAATGCATCCTTTGTCTGTTCTACCTAATCCTTTATATATGATGCAGTAGAAAAGATGGTTTTATTCACTTAAAACAGATTTTGAATTACTAAAAATATTCGTTAGAAACTTTAACCTTCTTTATTTCTTTGTTTTAGTGATGTGTTTTAAGAATGCAAACCACATATATATACAATTTTCATTGTTAACCACACCACTGACTGTAATTATTATATAGCTTTAAGAGTCAAATAATGAGGTACTGGAAAAATAACTTAAACTTATTTGAAACAATTGTTAATCAGCTGATATAATTTCATGGGGGCAGGTCAAGAACTCGAAGACTTTATGTTGATTCATAATCAGTCTATCTAATGATTTTATAGAAAAACCTTTAAAAGACCCAATAACATAACACTTCAACAAACCTTATATCATTTCACGCTACACGTACAAACTTTACACTTTACTAAAAACAAACTTCGATAATTTCTTCATCATTAAAATTCTTGTCACCCACAAGTAATTCTGAATATTTGTTTTTACTCATTAAGTCAACATTGTAGGCTCTGGTCAGCAGTAAAATTACAGTTATATTAGTACTTGGAACTAAACCAAAATATTTTATAAGTAATCTTAATGTTCTTATTTAGTTAAAGTGATCAGCAAAATGTTATC